CGGTGGACCTCCGATGGTTGGATGGCGGGAGGATAGGCCGCAGTATCGAGCGCTACCTGGCGGGGTCGTCGTATAAGCTTGATGAGCGATTCGAATCTCATTTCAGTGCCTTCTTCAGTACTCTCCGTACCTATACAGGAATCGTATACAGGGTCTGTTCAACAATCGGTAAGTAGACAAATAAACTATTATCGACACTTGAAGTATAAATCTATTTTAAAAATTATGTCTGTAATTATAATTAGGATTAAATACATTTTAAGTCTTAGGTACATGTATACGGTATTTTCAGTTATTACTATGGGCCGTTGCACGGAAAATCACACGGAAAAAACAAAACAGTTATTTTCACTATAAAAATAGTAAAATTAACTGTATTATACAATTGCTATAGGGATAGCTATAATGTTAGTCAGAGTTACTAAAAATATAAAGTTATGATTTTATAGTTAGTCAGACAAAAATTATAGTGTTTTGTACCAAACATGTTTAGTACTCTTTACTATACAATTTAATTATTTGAACAATATTTATAGTTATTTGAATATAATTTTATAGTACTTTTTACTTTTAAATTTATTTATCTGACAATGTTTATAGTAATTTGAACATATTTTAATAGTAATCTGTAATTTTAAATTTAGTTATTTGACAATTTTTATAGTAATTCAAATATAATTGTATGGTACTGTTTACTTTATAATTTAGTTGTTTGACAATGTTTATAGTAATTTGAACATATCTTTACAGTACTATGTACTTTTTAATTTAGTTATTTAAATAATATTTATAGTTATATAAAAACAAAACTTATAGTGTTGACGACTATTAACCAAAGTGAAATTTACTACAATAAAACTTCTTCACGATAACAATTAGTTCCCTGACCTATACCTAGTGATAAGTAGCATAGGTACCTATAAATTTAAATATTAAAGTATTGAAGTTTGGTTATTTATAACAGAACCTAGTTATTCAGGTTATTTTTCTCGGACAGTAAGGCAATTTTCAGTTTTAATTTGAATATAATAATTAATATTAAAATTGAAATTTGATTATTAAGTTATAAATTATTCATGTTTTTTTTGCAAGTACACAATTTAAAAGATATAATGTGTTAAATTTACATTTTATTAAACTTTCATTACACATATTGATACAAATTATAATATATATTAAATAATACAAAACAACTTTTTACATAGGTATAAAAGTACCAAACATATTTTACAAAACAATAGACAATATGTAATTAATTATATACAATATTAAGTTATAATAACAATGTAATTAATAACTATATATAATATGAACATTAGAGATATAAAATTACTATAAATATTATACCTAATACAATAAATGCCTACTGTATTATAATAAATTATAGTATTCAATATAATGTAACAACAGTAGGTATATTTCTGAAACTGTACAAATAAAAATAAAAATTTAAAAATATTAAATATATTTTCAAATTTATGTATACATTTTTATAAATACACTTCCATTAGAAATGCTTGTATGGTGAACAGGAAAACTATTATCCAAATCATTTAATTTTTTACATTTTAATTCAGAAGTTAACATAACATTAAATGCTCCAAAATGTTCATCATAATGAAAAGTATTAAACAAATTATAAATAATGAATGATTCATCTTGTATGATAAAAATACATTTAATTAATCCGAATAAAGGTAACATGTAATTTTCATCGCATATATTAATAACCACTGACATATTTTTTGTATTGTATAAAATTCCCTTGATATTTATCCAAGAAACAAAGGATACATTATTTAAATCATAATGATCTGAATATCTATTATATAATTCAATGTCCATTGGACTTAATTTTATTATTGGTCCTATTCCCGTATGAATGGTATAATGATCTATTTTAGTTGATAATAATCTATAAGAAAGCCTTAATTGTTGTTTTAGACATAATGTTTTTTGAATATTTTTTCTTGATGTTATTGAATGAGCAGTATTTTTCAATTCTCTGTGCTTGCCTTCAAACCGCATTGCCCAAAATAATGATAACGGGCCAGATTTTTTAATGATTAAAGGATAATGAACCATATGATGGTGTTTTGGCTTTAAATTTATACGAAATATTTTAAGGTATGTAGTGTGGTGTTCGGTAATTAGAGCTTTAAGGAGTATTGAGTCTTCAAATTTAATCCACTTTGATAAAATTATACTTAAAATTTTATCAAGTATAATGTAGATTGACCAAATTTCTGAGTTAAGAGGAACTAAATCACCAATAATAAGTCCCAAGTTTTTAACAAAACATAGCATTTCACTTGCTGACATTTTCAGTTTACTTCCTTTACCTTTCAATGTTTCACTAGCAATTAATGTTGGTCGATTTCGGATATCTATGAATCCATAATCAAATAATTCTATTCTACTATTTAGTTTATCAACTGTAAAATATTTTAGGTCAAAAATCATTATTTTTAGCATCAAACCTATATCATAATTACATACTTCCTCTAGCATGTCGTGCATTATGTCCACACAATAATTCTGTGAAAAGAACTTATTTCATTCCAAACACATGATTCTTTTACTCCAGTTAATAATACTTCATTTATTTCAAGATCATCAGCATAATTTATATAGTTTCTAACATTCCTATCTACCTCTGTTGTTTGTACGTGGCATTCATTTTTAATTGTTTTACAAAACCTGCATGGATATCTGGAAACAAAACTTTCAGTAAACCCTAATATAGAATGTAAGCCCAAATTATCTCCTATAATCAAACCCAAAGAGAAGAATATATGATGAACCTTATTATTGACTGTAACAAAAATACCAGTATTTTCTAAATATTTTAATTCAGAAATTAAGTCTTTAAAAATAACACTATTCCCAAAATCTCTTTTGTCATTGGTTTTAAAAAGTGATACCAAATATATTTGATCTAAAGACGAAGACAACTCTGGAGGTAAACATGCTAAGGATACATATATCGCGCCTAACTTTTGCGAACCAGCATGCGTACCGAGTGGATTATTGACTTCAAAATCGTCAAAATATAAAAATAATGGTAAAATAAGTTTATTTGTATTGTTTGAACATTTTTCGTGCCATAGTTGGGACTGCATAAAGTTATAAGTTAATTTACTGGATTTCATATTTTCTGTATATTTTAATATTACATCTAATAAATTTGAGTGTTCTAAATTTTTTTTTAATATATCTCGAAGTGAAATTGAGCATATTTTAACATCTATAGGCTCTACTACAACTATTCCATTTACTAATTTGTCACCTAATCTGTGACCAATAACTATTTCTTTAGGATGGATTAATACAACTAATTCTTCATGTTTTTCAAATCGCTTATACTCTGTTTTTAAATTAACAAAGGGATCTGACAACATTTTCATCTCACTAAGTATTAATGTTAATTCACCCTTGACATTATTATCGCTGCATTTATTTACACATACGTTAATTTTAGAACTAAAAACTGCTACAATCATATCGATAAAATCTTGAACATCATTAATTAAAACATCAATTTTATTTCTAGGAATAACTGTATCACTATACCATTTACAGATCATACTTATAGCATTTGATCTTATTTTTATTAAATCATCAGCCAGAGGGATACTACAATTTTGTTCACCAATATTATCACTATCAAGAAATTCTTCATTTTCAGTAGTTTCTTCAAACAAATTAAATGTATTTATTTTTTTTAAATCCATATTAGAAGTAGAATCATAGTCATGCTGTTTCAGATGTCTTTTATAAGTATCAACATTGTTAAAAATCCGTAAACAACCCTCTAATGGGCAATTTAATTTTTCAATTGATTTTAAATCATGGTAAATATTAAAATGTATAAATAAATGATTGAGACATTGGGCCTCGTAATTACATATAAAGCAGCTTAACATTTTAAAATTATATTTGAGAAGAAATTGGAATTATTAATTGAATGTTTATTTATTATGTCAATAAATGTATACATGTAGCATGTGTACATAAAACAAAGAAAATCTTTTAAATAGGAACAACAGACTATAAAATATAAAACATAATTAATTAAACAATTAATACTATTATTCTATATAAACTCTATATAACTCAAATTATTACTGCAAATCCTTAATTAGGCTTTGGACACTTATAATTTTTTTTTTTAAATTATTGTTTATTTTAAAAAAATAATCCTGAATGAACCACCATACCTGTTCAGCCTCTTGAGGATATTCTAAATTGAATGAATGAAATGATTTAAAGCATATGTCTAAGGCCTTGATGGGAGTTTCTAGTTTGTAATATATGTCATTAATAACTGTGTAGTAGCTGATTGTGTTATTGATTTCTTCTAGATTACCCACTATGGCAACGTATGGTTGAACTGTAAGCCCACAATTAAATGCCCTGTGCACTTTTTCTTCATGTATTGTTTTGAGATCATTGATATTCTTTAAAAAGTTATTAAACCTATATTAATAAACAATTATTATAGTTACCTACTTATGTGTTTAAATGCTTTATTTTATTAAAAATAATATATTAGTTATTGTTCTATAATTGAAACTTACAGTTATGTGTACTATAACTGCACAGGCTTGTTTTGATTTTGTTGGCCTCCGCATTGAATATTTTGTAACATTGTTCCCAGTGGTTTTCTTTGGTATTTTAATGTTAACTGGATTAAATAGGTAAGGCAATTATTGAATGGCAGCTAAATAATCATCGCCTAAAGTCATTTTAAATATTAGTATGTTACATATATTATATTGTTATTATTTGTATGTGTATAAACATTACATGTATATAACATGTATTATGTATTATGTATATAATACATAAGTATTTGTGTGCAGTTATTATTATACAGTTAAATTAAGACACTTGCCTAAATTATCAGCTGATAAAATTGTTTTAACCCAATTTTGTTGTTCTACATTAAAGTTGAATGTTCTACTTTTAAGATAATTTTTTAATATTAAATTTTTTTTTTAAATATCAAACTTTTGTATCAGATTTTGATTTTTTTGAGGATATAAATTATCAAAATCCATATCAATCTAAAAAAGTGTGAATGTTTAGTTCTAAACTTTTTTTTAATATAATATGTTTAAAATATAATACAATTAAGTGAAATAAGAATTTAGTGTGAAAGTAATAGTAATATTAATATTAATCAATTAAAAACATATTCTATAATATATATAGTTGAACTTACAAGTATGTGACCCTTCGAGTTTTTTAGAGCTGGGTATTTAAGATTGTTTTTATCATTACTTTGTTTTTGTAAACGATAACTTGCAGTTTCTGCCCACAGCTTATATAAAGTTATTTCAGGATCAATGTTGTGCTTTAGCCAATTTATTGAATCCAAAATTTCTATTTATTTAATAAATATTTTAGTAAATACTAAATTAGTAATTTTACAAAAAAGTATATTAAATTGTCTGTTTTAAAGAATTTAATAAAAAATTATTTATTAAAAGATTTAAATTTAGTTTATTAGAAAGAAACCTAACCATCTTCGTTCGTAAAAACTGCATCATCTTTGTTGCACAAATTTTGTTTAAATGCTGTATTGGTTTTATTGATTTCTCTTTTAATATTGCAATATTTATCATACAGTTTACCTCGATTAGGGCTAACTTTATTGCCTTCTCTAAAATATGGAATGAAATAAACAAACTCAGATTCTGAAGGGAATAACTCTTCTATACCTATTATGTTAACATCAAAATAATTAAATAATATTTGCTATTTTTTTGTTTTTAATCAAAGACAATAAATAAAATATTGAGTATTATTATTATTTTATGGATTATTATAAAACAACTTGCATAGTAATTAATAATCATTAGTCAAATATACATTATGTTCTTATAATAAGTACACTACATCATTCTTAATCACTTTTGAAAAAAAATTTGTACCTTTTGCAATTTTGGAAAATTGAGACCTGTTAATTTTATTTGCACCTTCTGTATTGTATATAGCATCATTTATCACTACTCCACAAAGCCGATTTCTCATTTTTTGGCATAATGTCCCATTTGAAGCATAATACTGTAGTATAATAACACCATCTTTTTTTTCGATTACCATATCGCCACATTTAATGTCAAAGGAAAACTTGGTATTATTATGTTCAATCATGTTTAAGTCAAAACATATTATTGCCCATGTTATTAATATTGGGGCATACATGAAATAATTGCAAAAGTGGTAAATTAGTGGTAAAATTTATAATCATATTTGACTATATTTATGATAATTTTGATAGTTTCAACATTTGTAGGTGCCATCAAGTTCCGGGCCCTAAATTAATTTATAAATATTATAGTATCGCAACAAGTAATATATGTCTGTTAACTAATCAGTTAACCATCTTACCATGAAGACTGTAGATTTACCATAGGGCGTAGGTTTATTTTTAGTGACTGAAGTGTAGTTATTGACTGAAAAAATTGAATTCACCTCTGGGTTACATGCTTTAGATGTTTGTGATAAAGAGTTGTATACAAATATTCATGAACTCTTGAAAATATTTTCTACTTTGCCTGTATCAACTGCTACACCCAAACGATGTTTTTCATGTTTGAAGAGGATTGAGTCTCACATAGTAAATAGTATGACAGAAGTAAATATTTTATCAATTATTCTATCTAAATATCTTAATATATTGAATAATAATCATAAATTAGGTAGTTATTATTTTATACTTTGTTTATTAGAACCGACTTAATGTGTTGGCTTTATTGGCATTTCAAACAATAATCATTGCAGATGAGGTTAACTATGAACCGAGAATTCAAAAAAAAAAAAATTAGAAAATTGGATTTTGTATTATAACAATTTTTTTTGTTTTCATTTACCTGATGATGCCGATAGTATAATTTTTTTTTAACTTTATGAATTATAAATGTTTGCCTATGCCAATCACAAAGGTTGCAGTTTTCTTGAAAGTATTTTTTCGAAATCAGTTCGGTAGTTCCAGAGATTACCCTCAACAATGTCAACAAACAACTCCTCTTTATATAATAGTGTAGATATATATATATATAAATATTCATACGATATACCCATATTACCTATAGTTTTATGAATTAATTCGCATATTATATAACTCGCAACCAAGGCTAATATGTATAGATAGATAAGGCAATACGGAGGGTTTGGTTTATTGTAATAGAGTACTTACCTATATGCGTCGTCAAGTTATAAGTTATCGAGTTAGTGCATTACTCATTAGTGCGTTTCTTAAACTGTGTTCCGCGTGGAATCCCAGGGTTCCTCGAAACTGCAGTGCTTTTTTCAACATTTTAAATCGATCTCTGTGTTAAATGTCGGTACATTTCAAAGGATGAATATCCTCGATTGTCACAAAAGGCCGTGTTGGCACTTTTAACCATTTGCAACCACTTGTATGTGTGAAACGGGGTTCACCACCTATGTACCAACAAAAATAAATACCGCAACTGACTTGAGGCTGAACCTAATATGCGAGATTACAATTTTCATCGAAAAATCCCGATATTAAGAACATATTTTGTAATAATAAAAAGTAATTTCACTCATCTCATTAAAATTAAAATTTACAAGTCCTGTTATTCAAAATATTTTTTGAATTAAATACAGAGTAGTGTGTACACAGTTATTATTAAATAAAATTATTATAATTTTTATTGCCAATAATCCAATGACACATTAAAACTATTGAAACAAAATATAATATAGGTTCTGATGATTGTCGAGCTATAATAACCCACTGTTGAAAACTAAATAAAAAAAGCAAAAAATCTAGAAAAAAATTAGTGGTTCCACGATAAAAGTAGACATAAAAAAGGGTTAAACAGATAAACTTAAAAAGCTGCGTTACTCAAACTTATCATTCACGTTGGATATGATATTCTATTATTATAATAAAATATGAGATGATTCATTATATTCAAAATATGACACTATATTATATTTTTTATCGTTTAAAATTGCAGCCTTAATTTTTAATACCAGACGACTAGGCTACCTACCTAATTTTTTTTTTACATATTAGTAAATAATAATAATTCAGCTAACACGTAACACGTAACTACCATTATATTCTGCACAAATAACATGCTCTGTCTTAGTAACGTTGATATGAATGTTGATAAAAATTTATTTTAATAGCATTTAAAATTTTAAAAAGTTTTAAAATTGAATTGAAATTATTTATTTTTTTTTAAATGTAGGTAGGTATGCAATTATTCAACATTTTCTTAGGAACCATTGTTGAAAAGATTCATAGTTAAGTATTTAGATATTTTACGTAGATACTTGGACACCGTATAATATAATAATTAATAAACGATGATACGGTATATACTATATACACGAATATACGATTGGTTTATTTCACGCATCTCGGTATGCGTCGTCAAAAGTTATCATAGACAGGGCCCAGGGCATCCCGGGATCTTATAAAATTCCTCCTCTCTTACATGGAGGGAGGGAGGGTGGTAGAATTCCAATGTCAAATATAAAAAATATAAATACCTACAACCTACATAATATATAGAATAATTATAAAACATTATTTAGGTACCTACCTACTTGTATTGTAAATCAAGGAACAAATTCACTTTACTTTTACGCGTTTTTCTGATGTTTTTTTAACATGTATTTCAAAAAGTTAAGATGGTGGAAATTAAATTTGCAGAAATTATTATTTTGGAATTTATATCCTTCCGAATTTCTGTTTTCACGCAAACGCACAACGTTGCGATTTACAGCCGTGTACACGACTGTATACAAGTGCCTTTAACGAATTTAGATTTGTTTTTTTTAAGGTCCAAAGTATTTTAACGTGTTAAGACCAGCACATAATATATATAGGTAAACAGTCACATTGTTTAAAATGCATAACGCGGACACTTTGTATACTATTATGTAAATAAAGTACACATTATATAAAAAAGCGTGTAAGTAGATGTCGCTCTGCTGTACAGTAGGTTACAAGTGAGTCACTGTATAATGGATGGTATCAAATTTGAATTCAATGATAAATTACCATTGTATAAGCAAAACGATTCTTAGCGGAGACGTTATGTCAGTCTAGGTATCATTCTATATACATATCTATGGAATTCAAAAAAAAATGACCTATAATAGGTACCTATAATTAATTCCAAATTAATCATATCACAATATCCATTAAAACTTATAACGCGTTATACATCAACAACAAACCCTGATCCTATCATAGATATATAATAATAGTGTACTTTAGAAGTTTCAATTACCCACGAATAATATTATACAATTACAACAAAATAACTAAAATAGTTATTCTAGGTTTTTTTTTTATGTAAATTCATCCACAATTGAACTTAAAATGATTATAAAAATTCACTGTGCTTAAGATTTTTTGGTAACAGAATTAACTACTTACGTGGAATCTTGTTTTAAATTTTCAATCTTTAGATATAAAAGTTGAACATTTTATAAATTTTTAACTACAAAATAATTATTTAGTTTTAAATTTGGAAATTTTGTCAAAATTCGATCTTTAAATGCTTATAAAAAAAATGTGACTATGTATTTTTAATATTTTTCAACTGATATTGTAACATTATATCAGGAGCCTTGTATTCAATTTTTACACTTTTTTTCAGAACAAATAAAACTTTATTGATATTAATTATAGAAAAAAAAACTAAAAAAAATGAAAACTGAAATGTCCGTAAACAGCTTAAAAAGAGTCAAAATATTTTCAAAATTGTATGGTGTATAGGAAATACTAATATAAATATTCAGTGAAATTTTCATGTACAGTTATTCGTTTTTGAATTACAACAAAAAAAGAAATCGCTACATGAGAAATCGAGTGAATACCCAATGTTGTAAAAATTTGAATTACAAACGCCCATAAAAATTGAATTTGACTTTCTTGTAGACAATTTTTTTTTAATAAAGCAAGATAATCTTATAAGGAATCTTGTATAACATTTTAAAATCTTAGATTTAAAAAGAAAAATTTTTATGAATTCTTAACTCAAAATAATTTGCGAATTTTCGTGATTTTTCCATATTTTGTCAATTTTTGGACTTAAAATGCTTATAAAAAAAAACTGTGACTAAGGATTTTTAATATTTTTCATCTGCATTTGAAACAATATACTGGAAGCTCTCTATTTAATTTTCTAGCTTTTTTAACCAATCAATAAAATTTCATTGATATTTATTGAATAAAAAACTAAAAAAATTGAAAACGGAAAATATCTCGGAAAAAATTTGGACCCAAGCCTGGCCAACCTGGTATTAAAGTTCTGGCGCCGCCATTGTGTTAATTAAAATAATTATCATTAATCACGTCATCTAGTTACTATTCTCACGAATTATTTTTGTATTGTATAAAATATCAACTTGAAATTATCTTTATTTCATAAGATAGGGAACACTATATACGATGATATAGCTGACGATATTTTCGTATTTAATCTATACGATTATATACATACAATAAGTATCATTAACGCTAATTGCATTTAATCGATATACATCTGATTACATCGTGTACTTCAGACTTTAGATAATTTGATTACGCCATGTAATATGTAATTTTTTTAATTCTTTTGAAAAGTATGAGAAAAGTAATACAACATCGATTATTTCTACGAGTAAAATCGATTGAAAAACTGATGTACAATACATAACGTGATATCGCCGAATCTAGGAAAAAAATCGCCAAAGCTATACCTAATCGTACTGTTGGGTACAACAGCTGTCAAAAATAATAAAAATATATTCAAATTGAATAATAATTATTATATTATTATAATATTCATAAACACGTATAAATTATATTATATGATATTGCTATACAAATATTTCCATTCATTTATAAAACAAATAAGTATTACCCTTTACTAATAAAAATTAAAAGTAAAGTAATTTGAATCTGAATTTGACAAATATTATACAGAAATTAAATAATATTATATTATCAATGAGTTAATATTTTTAAAATTAATCTTATTCCTGTTTATGAAATC